AGCTCGTTCAAGACTCTTTCTTTAGTTTAAATAATAATCCTTAGGATTTCGAGGTTGTCTTTTATGACACGAACCTCTCCTTTTTTTTTTAGGCTCCTGCATAGTCCCGATATGCAGTATGTCCTAACTTGTTTTAGGATTCTGAGGTAGTCACTCGACGTAAAACCTCCTATCTTTCTAGGCTTTTTGTGTAAATCATCATTACACAAATCTAAGTCCTAATTAATAAAACTGACAAGAGTTAACTTAAATTAATATCATCCTAAATTGAGCCAAACATTAGGATAGTTTGGGGGATTACCAAGAACCTATTCTGGATCCTTAATCTCCCCTACTTTCCTACCTTTGATTCTTAAAACAAAATCTTTCACTTTTGAACCAATCCCTATTGAAAATTTCACAATCATGTTCATTGAAAACCCTTTCCTTTTGAACTCATGAAAATAAAAGATTCCTGATTTTTATCGAGAGTTTTCTTAGGTGATCCGTCGCTTAAGATATAATTAACTATAGGGGCTTGCCCTTATAGGGAACTTAAAAGAACCCAGGCTTAAAATAAACCCTATTTGACTACCATATCAAATAGGGGAATCCGTCGGTCATCATGCAAACTTGCAGATCAAACGGAAGTCATTTATTTCCATAGTTTATTTAATTGAGCTTATTATCAAGTAGTGTATTACCGTTCAGGGTGGTACATTACTCGTGGTTAGCTCAATTATCCAAACTGCAGGAATCAATGGGATCAGTTTGACCCCATTTTCTTTAAATTAAAATACATAATTTCTAAACACTATATTACGCTAAATTAAACCACACACAGCCGCATGGCGACCGACACTCCCCTTAATAATTTTTGATCCACTCTCGGAATCTGACGAGCTTCAGCAGAAAATCTGTGGAAGTAGTCCTTGAGCGACTCTCTTTCACTTTGACAAATTCCCGAGAGATGGGATGAATCATTGATGATCCTTCAATTTGAGATGAACTACTCCGTGAACAGTTTGACAAGCTCGTTAAAGGTGTTTATAATGCCCCCTAACAAAGAGTAAAACCAGGTTCGAGCTTGTCCTTTAAGAGTAGTTGGGACACTTGACATAAAAGCGCATTAGAGGCACGTTGAATGTGGATGATGGTTTGATAATGATCAATATGATCGTAGGGGTCGGTTATCGCTTCATATGTATCGATGTTCGTAAGCTTGAATGTTGTTAGGATGGGGTGTTGGAGGACCGCATCTGCTAAGGGAGGTGATTCATGAATGTTACGGTAAGCGTAGAGGCAATCCTTTTTTCTATAAGAGGAACTCTTTCCGGACGAGGCGTCGCAGTTCATTACAAATGACATTATCTGGAATGGTAGGAAGATGTGGCGATGTCGGGTGAGCTGCACGAGATGGGTGAGTGGAACTTGCAGTAACTAGGAGTTCAACATCACAACCTGACAGGGGATGTGTTCCTTCTCGAGGAGGCGGGCCGATACGAGTTTCTCCGAGTGGTATTTTTCTTGCACGTTGTAGGGAGTTAATGATAAACAAATTTTATCCAATGGTGTAGGCAGCGACTGTTGAGCCCCGCGTAGGAAATGCAAGATCTCTAGTTGAAACTCCTCCATTCTACACATTCGATCTTCTATTGAAGAACCCGAAACACCTTCGTTGGCAGGATAATGTCTTTCAGGGCGGGAATATGAAGAAGCATGCCGCCCTTGGCTTCGTGACTGCTCCATGGAATGATGTGTGTTGGAGCGGGATGCTCCGTTGTCATGAACATTGTGTCTGGTGACCAAGTAGTAAACCGCGTAAGTACTTTAGTTGTGAGATTGAAACTTTGCCACAGACGACGCCAAACTGATGTGTGTTAGAAAACTCGCGATGGTAGAGTAACGGGCTATCGTTTTAGCGTTGTACGAAAGTTCAGCACACACACAGATGAAAGAGAAATAAGCGGTGATGACTCTAGAAGTTTTTACGTGGAAAATCTGTAAGGGAAAAACTATGGGGCCTGACCCAGTTGCTAAAATTCACTATTGATTGATGATTACAAAAATCCCTCGTCCGACATACAGGAAATGATAAATATATTTTTCAGATTACAACGTCGACTGATGACGTCTGGTTGATGATAATCAATGATGGCTAGTGGTGGTCGCTGACGATTGGTAGATGTTGACGAAGGTCGGCGATGATTGATGACGATCGACGATGAGCAACATAGGTTGATGGAGGTCGACGGTCGGTGGTGGTCTACGACTATTGGCGGTGATGTTGAGCTGCAGCTTCTCTTAAAGACCTCAATCTCTCTCTAGACTTTCGCCCCCTCTCATGAGAATGATGAGACTCTATTTATAATATTCTGGGTGCAATTAATGCAGAAATATGAACCACTTTGATATGACGGTCCAGAGAGCATCCCTCAAGAAGTCATTTGATGGATGTTTGAGTGTTTTAATGATGTCAAAATTGAGTGATCTTGGGTCGTTGGATTCGTTGGATTCGTCTTGTCAAGACGCTCGATTCGACTATAAACTCGCTGAATTCGACATTCGTTTGATATTTCAAATGCATTCAAAAATCTTTTAAGAATGATTTAATTACTTGATCTAGACTTGATTTGACTTGAATTACACTAACTTTGATATCATTAGATCCGTCTCATCGAGTCGGTCAGCTTGACTATAAGTTTGCTGAAATCAGAACTCTGGACGACTTTTAATTGAAGTTTGAATATTTTTTATTCAAAAGCTTGCCTCGAGATTCGTGTCATCTCGAGATTTGTGATGGAAGATGAAAAGTTGTTGGTGATGTATCAGAGCTCAATCTAACTTAAAATCAAAACGAGTTAAGAGTTATTTGGGCTAATCGATTCTGCCATAAATCAAAATAAGATGGCTCAAATTGATTTAATTCAGATTGGTGTGTGTAATTCAAACTGTTCTCCACCTAATTCAAGTCGATTCGTGTATGAATATATATATATATATATATATATATATATATATAAAACTAAAAATAGAAACAAATTTATTTCAACTCGATGTAAATGAGAGCTAAAAATAGAAACAATTTTTGTGATATTAATGGCGCTAAATTCACAGCCCATCCCGTAAAAGTAGTTTCGTCGGGCTCCTCCCGGTTATATAACTCCTCTCCACACCCAACCTTCCCCTTTCTTCCTCCTTGCGACGTCTCCGGCCATGGACGGAACCGTCGACGCTCTCAGCAGCGCGTACCACGACTTCGTAGGCGCCGCCCGCCGTCATCGAAGCCAAGGAGCAATCCGGAGGGCAAAAGACTGCGGCCACCGAAGCTGCCCTCGAGAACTTCAAGCAACGGTGGGAACTCTTCCGCGTCGCTTGCGACCAGGCGGAGGAGTTTGTCGAATCCCTAAAGCAAAGGATCGGTTCGGAATGCCTTGTCGATGAGGCCACCGGCGCGACGCCGGTGAAACCCGGACAGCTATCTGGCTCCGGCATACCGCCGATCAGCGCAGTGAGGCTGGAGCAGATGAGCAAGGCGGTTCGATGGCTGGTGATCGAGCTACAACATGGTTCCGGGGCGGTTACTGGCGGCGGGTCGGTGGCGCATCATAACGCATCTGCTCCGTTTGATACTAGGTTTTCGGATGACTCGACTCAGTAGGTATGCTAATTAGGGTTTGTTTGAGTTTTGTTTCGATCTGTACTTACTTCCAGGGAATCGTACCGATGGATGGAAACTATAGATGCTGTTATGAAGTATTTAATATTTATGTTTTTCGAAATCTTGGTTGGAATAGCAGTGAAGCCGAGTGATCCCGGAATTTCTTTATTTTTGGGAGTGCTAAATCGATCAATTTGGTTGCCTTGGGGAAATGAAACTAGTACCATACATGTAGACATGATTAAAAAACAATGAAGCAATGAAAAAGATGAAATAGCACTATTAATGATCAGAATGATCTACATCCACGAGTTGATAAGGCACTTATATAATTCCACTATCAAAATATCTGCAGATGAATACAAATTGAGTAGAGTAATAAGATTGAAGAAATTTTCTTTCTAGAAAGCTAATGAGAAGGTTGAGAAGATTTTGGAGGAAATGGGAGTTCTCAAATATTAAGAACAACAACAAATAATTTCTTTTGCTGGAGCTGATCACAGTAGGATGTAACCTGTGACTCCTTCTCACAAAACTCAGTTGCACGAAGAGCTCTCATTTTTCAAAGGAGCTCTTTGGTATTGTGGTTCCATGACACCATCAAAACCTTCATAATCCTATTTTGCAAGGGATAGAGGTAGGTTTTATTATCTGGCTTTGGATAAGATATTACAAAAGCATCCTGCATGCTTTGATATATTACCCAGCATTTCCTTCTACTTGTATCAATTCATTCACATCAATGTGTGAATGGACTACCAAATCTGAACAAATCACTGAAGTCTTTTCCTCACCTAAAGCAATGGAGGGCATCAACAACTGCACTTATCAATAAAGTCCAGACTTTGTATGAACTCAAGAAATTGTTCGCCTTGGTAAACATGTCATAAGGGTTATGTTGTATTCAAATGATCTTATGTAAAACCTCACCATATTCAATTTTGTTTCTGATGTGATATCAAACATCACTGTATTCATGGAAATTCACATCTTTATCCAAACCCCTCAATCGGTTTGGTTCTATGATATCTTCATAAAGTGCCATATAATCTCCACTTTTAGAGAACAATAATTTTAGGCTAGAGACAAGCATTCCAAATAATGAAGTACCTTGAAAGATGAAATGCATATCCAATATGAGAACTCCTTGCGCAAAATCATTTGGACGACTTGAATTAAAAAATCTCACAACTCTGCAATAAGATTTGACCAAACCAAATGTCAAATCTCAATCCCTAGCGCCTTTTAGATACCTCAAAATCCTCTTCATAGCCACATGTCTTACCACATGTTATTATATATATATATATATATATATATATATATATATATATTGCTTACAACACTGGCGACATGTAAAATGTTTAAATGTATACACATCATAACATTTATGATACTTCCAACTTGCTACTTCAAGCCATTTTAGTTATGTAGTTCTTTAGGTGATATAGAAGAAATTGCTGAAAACTGAGTGAAACTTTTCTAAAACATTTATGTCTTTTTTGTGTTAGAAATAAAACAATGTTTTTCTATTTTCTTACTATCTTTATTCCCAAGTTATTTTAGCAGCAAAAAATTCTTCATTTTCAAATGCTGCACTCAGGTCAATTTTGACTATTGAATTATATGGAAAACAACACGTCAACATGCAATAGTAGATATGCATAAGATTTATTCTTGAAGTTCCTTAATATGCATATTTCTATTAAATCGGCTTCTCCTAAACTCATAGCTAATCATAAAATTACTAAACATCTTTTATCGTTATCTTGGAGAATGTTTCAAGCTGTATAAAGACATACACAGTAGGCACACATGCTTTTTCTTTCGTGTATCTTTAAATCTTGATAGTTGTTGGCCTGATTCAAATCATCATGGGAAAGTTATCCTTACATCCAATTAATCGAACTCCAGATCCAACACTACAATCATTGCTAACAAAGTAAAAATAAATTACGCTTAACAAAAAGTGAGAAAACTTACTTGAAGTTTATACATTCTTTTTTATTATAGTCTCTTGCCTACAAATCATAATTTGTATCTAATGTTATCACCACCTTAGATTCCCTTATTGTTCTTCAAGATTCATGTGCAATTAGTAAATCATTTACACTTATGGAGTTCAACTCCAGATCAAATGTTTTATTTATCTACAAAGAGCTATTAGTTGCCACGGATCTTGCTGTTTATTGTCTTGATTCTCTCATACTGTTAAATTCCTTTAAAAATGAGTGGCTCATAAACGTTAATAAACTTTATAATACTCAAAACACAAGCAACCCAACGAGAAATGAGGGATCCACGCAATTAATTTTCTAAGATGATTTAATTTGCCATTTAGTCTTATGAGAAGCAACATTTTCTTTTGGCTATGATACATCTCCTCTTAAGGTGGAACACAATGGGTTGATGCAATGAGCTATAATTTTACTATTCTGCTCAATTTCAAGGCTGACATATTTTTATACTTTCTAATATCCTTCCAATTAATTAAACCTACACTGAATTTTGTTTAAATGTATATGATTTATTAAACTCGAAATCCCTACCAATTAAGACGCTAAAATGTTTATCCTTTCACGCTATATGCATACTTAATGAATAAGTGCTCATTAGCTCTAGGGTCCAACTAATTCTCTTTTATGTAAGCATAAGCAAAACAATCAAATAGTTGTAGAGTTGAAAAAAATATGCAGGTTGACTCCATCATACTTCATCGAGAGTATAAGCAAAACAGTCAAATAGTTGTAGAATTGAAAAAAAAATATGCAAGTTGACTCCATCATGCTTCATCGAGAGTATTGAAATAGTTAGAGATTTATTTCCCATGTAGCATGCAATATTAATAGTCTTAACCCAAAAATTGTTCCTTATACTTACATTTGATAACACGTATCTAGCCCTCTTCACGACTGTCTTGCTCAATCTTTCTGCGTCTCTATTATGCTGAGGTGTCCTCACTGCATTCTTATGCCTGATAATGATTTTCTTTTGACAAGATCTTTGAAACTCAAAACAGATTTCAAACAGTCGTCGTTCCTCAACATCTTGATTTTCTTACTTATTTACTTCTTGATAACCACATTTTACTTTTTAATCTCTCCGATATATCACTATTTTGTTTAAGTATGAAAACCTATATCTTAGGAAATCACATATGAATGTAAGAACATGTATTTAGATATACATTTTCATCTAAAATTTGCTGGACTCCACATGTCAAAATGGAATTCTGATAATAAACTTCAATTTGTGATTATTTCTTAGAACACTATGCTCATATCTCTTTAGAGCTCTAGTCTTCTAAAAGTAAAGCAAGCTTCTCATTTTTAACTTTGAGGCTCCACTTTGACATTCATCCAAGCCTCTTGCACCATAATATAGTATTTTCTTTGAGAGAGAAATTGATGCATAACATATCATTGTGCTCCCTTGTTGGAACTAAAGATGGTTATTTTTTTTATCTTCATTAGAACTACGAAAGCTTCAAAAACATGTAAAACTCTACCATGAACTGTGAATTTGCACCAATTAGAATTTAAATAATCCAAAGAGATAATTTTGTCTTCTGATCAAGCAAATGTTTAGCATCACCCAACATCTTTTTAGCTCCATCATGTCTTTATTTAAATTACTAAATCTGAATAATCTTACATGTCATGTCATTGCTCATAATGTCATGTCTACTGTTATTTGAATTATAAAATAAAAATCAATATTTCTATTACAAAAGCAAGGGAATACATACCAATGATTGTAAAGTATTTAATAAAAACAATGTTTTTTTGTAATTATACATTTTCATAATTAATAAAAGCTGCATGGTTGTGGTCCTGTGGATGCAGGTCTCAGGTCTTCAAATCTTCTTAAATTTATGTTTTCTATGATTTGCTGTGTAGTTTCTATTTTAATTTCGTTCCCAGCAATATGATACAAGGCTTTAAAGTCTCATATGATGCAGTTGGGGAAATGTTGTTGTTGTTATTTCTGGCTTATTTAAATAAATTGTAAGAGTATTATAGATTAAGTTAGGGAATATTAACTTTAAAATATATTTTTTAACGTTATAACAGGACTGATATTACATAAATAGCATCATTTACGTAAATACAGAAGTCTAGGTGTTAGATGTGTAAATATGATAGAATTGTATGGTATGTATGTAAATGCTCGGATAGATTAAAGGTGCATTTGTTTCCACTGTGGCTTTATGAAATTTCAGTTTAGAAGTTGTTGTGGAAAATTTGTTATTTAAAAGATGGCGTTTTTAAAGTTGTGGAAAATCTTTTATTTCAAAGCTCGTGTTTCAAAAACAGTTGTTTTTTTTAAAAATTCAATTTTGAGAGTGTCGTGTGTGAATAAATATTTGGAATATCTTTCTGTTCATATTTAATTGTATTATGTTAAACAAGTAGGAATACAAAAATAAACTCAAAATTAAATTGTAGAATCAAGAGTTGCAAAGTATAATGAGAAAGACAAAAGGATCATTAAGGATAAAGTGATTTGACCATACGATAAACCTGCGCGACCTGATTTATACGAGAATCTGTTTATCTGTATTTACATGATAACATATAAAGTAATAATAACCACACTCACTACAGTAAGCAATAACTAACCAATACAACAATTTCACAACCAAATGATCATGTTATCTATTCTATTCAAATGATCAAATTATTTTCCACTGAGATCTAAAAAATAAAATTCATCTAAACTTCATTGTGATTATCTAAATTCCTTAATATGAAGCATCACCCATATTCCAATCAGCTTAGCAGCATTCGATCAGAAAAAAAATTACCAGGGGATTAAAACCTAGCAAAAAAAAATAATAATTAATTTGTGAAATAGAGAGGGAACAGCAACTGGCATGCCCGCGCCAATTCTGAGCGTGGGTGCCTTGAAAAACAGCACAGGGACGTTGCAGTAAGCGGCGCGGGCGCACCCATATGGGCACGGGTGTGCTGCATTCGAAAGCGCAGGTGGAATGCATAACGCGGGACATTAGACACGGTAGCGATATTAGAAAATTTGCACCCCAATTTAACCGCGATCCACTGAACGCACGATTCAAATGTGAGATCCATCGATGTGGTTCAGAACTCCAGCTGATGCTGAAAAGGCGAAACAAACACACGCTAAGATCAATCTTGCTGCTCAGAACGTGATAGTGCACAATAAATTGGCCAAGTAAAGAAGGCTAATTTGTCTCACAGAAGTTGTCAAGTATTTATTAATCTCACTAGCGGGGCCTAAGGAGATGTCGCTTTTAAGCAGTGGAAACATGAAATGCCGGTGTTGACACTTAAAATATGTACAAAAAAAATTCCCAGAGAACTATTACTTGAAAAGCCCGTGTTACAGTGCTTGATAAGATAGGGAAATTTACATATATACCACACAATTCTTACGTATTTACATATCTAACATCCAAAGATTAATATCTACTCCTATTAACATGTGTTATTAACTTACACATGAAATTATGTGTTGAACTTTTTAAGAAGACAGGAATGATGACATTTTTGATTGTGATGTTAAACATTTGGGTGTTATACACATAATTATAATTGTTTAGTTGTTAGACATGTAAATATGTAAGAATTGTATGGTATGTATGTAAATGCCTCAAATACATATTTTGAGCACATTTTTTGTTTGATCCAAATTTTTTTTTTAAAAATTGTATTTGGTTTGTTATTGTGCTAAATATATAAATGAAGGAATTCGTCTTTGAAAATGCTCATTTATACCACATTTGTGTCCTTGCATTGTTTGTATGTAGAACAAAATGCATTATTTTGCACTTTTATAATAGGGAAATTTACATATGTATCAGATAATTCTTAAGCTTTTACATATCTCACATCTAAAATTACATATTTACATACATAATATTTTGGTGTTTAAAATCTATGCATGAAAAAGTACATTTCACTTTTAGGATGTGATAATAGTGTTATTTTTTGATGTTTGATTAAAAAATGAGTAGCATGTATGTAAATATGATAGTTTAGGTGTGGTGTATGCAAATACATAATAATTATGTGCTAGATATATAAAATGCCTCTTTATAATATTAGGTATATGAATTAATGCACCTTTAAGCACAATTAATCAATCTTTGTTTGATCAAGGCTGACTTTAGTGAATATCAAAATATCCCAAATATCATTTTACACTCTAGATATAAATTAAAATAAATCCTTATAAATTTTTAGAAGATCACAAGCCGGCACCAAAAGCCTATGATGTAAGTGAGTCAGGTCGACTATTGAGTCGGCTTAAGCTAAACTCGATAAGTGGCTCATAAACGGAGCTTGATGAACAAACAGCCAAAGCTCAAGTTGGCCCCGAGTCGACTCGATAGCTCTTGAGCTTGCTCATTTAAAAATATTAACATAAAATGTACTTGAATATATTAAATTTGAAAATTTTATTTTTAAAATATTAATCAATTAAAAAAATAATATTTTATATTTTATAACAAATATTTTTTTATTATTTTTCTCATAATTATTCATTTTATTTGTCATTTTATTAGAATAAAATCTTAAATTAATATTATTTTTTTTCTTTTATTCTAAACAAATTAGCTAGTGAATGAGCTTAAGCTCTTAGTCTTAAGTTTGAGAGAGGCTCGAGCTTGACTCGATCTATTCACAACCCATGCAAAGAACCATGAACAATACACAATTTTACCTTACATGCAAAGAATGCTAAGAAAGCTAATTTAAGAAAATCTCAACATATTTATAATTCATTCTTTTTATTTACATAAATACCTCACAATTCATATAAATTTACATATTTAATATCTAAAATTTCTTATTTACATATATAACACTCAACTTTTTAAAATCTTATTAGCATGTAACTCGTTTAAATATTTTTTTAAAGTGAAATACACATTTTAATATATATATTTAAACACAAAAGTTACAAATATAAATATAAACTTTTGGATGTTATATATGCAAATACATAATATTTGTGTGGTATTTATGTAAATTTTTTTTAAAAAGAAACATTGGTAAATATTTTCGCCTATAAAAGGAAACACGGGCATCATCTCCCTCGCTCTGCCTGCGTTTCTTGGGAGTTGAACTCTCCTCAGAGATGAAGGAGTGGGATCTAATTCCCACCATTTCGGCGGCATCGTCCGGCACCGGCAAGCCCGCCATGGAAGCGGGACTCTTTTACCGTAGCAGGTACAAGTTATGGGCCCTCGCTCTCATTCTTCTCCTCGCCTTCTGGTCCATGCTCGCCGGCACCGTCACTCTAAAGTGGTCCGCCGGTAATCTCAACGGAATCTCCGGTGATTTACTGTCTCATGAAGATCTCGATGTGCTGGTTATACCATAAACCTAGCTATCCCCAACTATCCTCGATTGCTTGACTCTCCTCGTTCACTTTCTGAATCGATTTCTTGGTTTGCAGGAAGTGGAGGAAAGGGAGAAAGTAGTGAGGCATATGTGGGACGTGTACACGCACAGCCAGCGGATTCGATTACCGCGTTTCTGGCGGGACGCCTTCGAGGCAGCGTACGAGGACCTCGCTAGCGATGAGGGAGAGATCCGGGACGCCGCGGTAACCGAAATTGCCCGGATGTCAATGAGGATGATCGATCTTGAGCCGCCGCCCCCCAAATCTAAGGTAAATTTTGCCGATGTGGGTTCCTTAAATGAATGATCTTGGATCTGGAGTTTTGGTTCTATATTTTCTTCTAATCTTTTTTTACTGCCCTATTAGTAGGGACTAAGTTCTTTATTTTGCTGCCCTATTACTCAACATCTATCATTAGTTCTAGATTTTAATATAAAGAGTTGTAAAATAAAGAATAGTGGAAATCATTATCGTAAAATTAGATGTGTGCATCTAAAAGACAAATAAAATTATTTTTATGAGTAAACATCAAAATTTCAAGATCTGAGATGTTCACGAAAAAACCAATTATATGTGAGATAAAGTAACAAACACTATTAAATAAAGGACAAAAGATATACTTGAAAAATCAAAAGAAAAAGTTTTTATAAATAAAGATAGTTGGTTGTAAAATAATAAGGTGCAAGAAAATTAAAATATAAGTAGTTATGTTATAAAAATTGGTTTAAATATAAAAGCTTAGAGAACAGAAAAATATAAAATGACCCTTATGGAATGAGTAAAATTTTTGACGCTAAAAATTATGTTTTTAGTGATCTTTATAATAGATTAGTTACTAAAGATGGTGAAAATATATGTATAAACTAGTTAAACAATGAGAAAGAAAAGTAAAGTTTTAACTCAAGTCAAGTGTATTAAAGATGAAAATCAAAAAGTGTTTTTCTTCGAAAAAAAGATATTCAACATAGGTGAGTGAGTTATTTTGATATTCTTTTTAATGAAGTTTCTGAAAATGTAATCGACCTTTGTGATATTAATATTATTAATAATAATTTCATTTTTATCGTCACATTAGTAAAATAGAAATCGATGAGGCTTTAAAGAAAACCAGGGGTGGAAAGTCTATACGACATAATGATAAACCAATTAAAGTGTGGTAATATATAAGTGATTTGAGAGTTTTTTGACTTACTAAACTCTTTAATATTATCTTAAAAACTAAAAAAATGTCTAAGTGGACGAAGAGTATTTTGATATCCATTTTAAGAATAAAGGCGTGCATAAGTGTGCAAATTATAAAGAAATTAAGTCTAAAGAATTTATGTCGATGTGTCATACTTTAAAATTATCGGAGAGGGTAATTGAACATTGGTTAAGATGTATCACAAAAATTTCTCATAATCAATTTGGATTTATGTTAGGCAGCTCTACTATGAAAGTTATATATTTATTGAGAGGTTTGATGAAAAAGTTTAGAGAAAATAAAAATGATCTGCATATGATTTTTATTGATTTAGAAAAAGCTTACGATAAGGTTCCAAGAGATATTCTTTGGAGAGTTCTAGACAAGAAAGGTGTTGCTATGACATATATTCAAGTCATTAAAGATATGTATATTAGAGCTATTACTTTTGTTTGAATAGAAGAAGGATCGACCAAATATTTTCTTATTTTGGTTAAATCATATCAGGGATCGACTTTAAGCCCATATCTTTTTTGCTTTAGTTATGGATGCTCTTACTGGACATTTACAGGAGGATGTACCTTGGTGTATGCTTTTAGCTGATGATATCCTTCTCATGGATAAGACTAGAAAGAAAGCTAAAAAAAACTTGAATTATGGAGGTCTACATTGGAGTCTAATGACCTTCGTTTGAGTAGAGCTAAAAATGAATACATGAATGTAATTTTAGTATTAGTAGCTATAGTGGTAGAGTTGTAGCTATGGGTGATGAAATTATTAAAAAATGTGAACAATTTGTATATCTCAGGTCTATCATTCAAAGTAATGGTGATATAGACGGGGATGTCATTAGTAGAGTTCAAGTCGGTTGGTTGAAGTAGAGGAATGCTTCGGGCCTATTGTGTGATAAAAAAGTATCGTTTAGACTGAAAAAAAAAAAATTAAGAAGATGGTGGTGAGACTTACAATGCTCTATGGCATTGAATTTTGGCCTTTAAAAGAGGTGTATAAAACCAAGTTAAGTTGTGGAGATGAGAATGCTTGGGTGGATCGGTGGCTTGACACTTAGAGGCAAAATGTGAAATGAATATATCCGTGATAGGGTTGGTGTAGCTTCTTGGTGTAGGTTGGTGTAGCTTCAGTGGCAGACAAAATTAGAGAGAGTCGTCTTAGATGGTTTGGTCACATTAAACGTCGACCATCTGATGATCCGATTATGAGAGTAGTTGTTTTAGATTCGACTTATTTTAAGAAAGACAGAAGTATACTTAGAAAGAATTGGACATTTTGTATTAAAAAATGATCTTAATTTATTCAAATTAAATGAAAACATGACGCTTAATAAGACAGAATGGAGAAAAAAGGATTCATGTAGCAGACCCCACTTAGTGGGATAAATGTTTGTTGTTGTTGTTATAGAAGAGGTAGGTGATAGTTACTGTCATAAAGCTTATTAGTTTAGTTTGCATTGGATGTGTTAAATTGACGAAGGGAGTTTTGGGAGGAATTAATCAACAAACATTAGTATTTACAGTACAAGCTAATATTTAGTGATAGAACAACACAACGACGAGAGATATGGTTACCTGTTTTCATGGGTAATATAGTTTCAAAGTTTCCAAGCTGGGGAAAATCTAAGAATTATGTTGAATGGGGGCATTTTATTGAAATTAAGTTGTATCATCTTTAACTTTATTTTAGATTGTACTAGTTGCAATTTATTGAAACATTGATGGTGAGCCAAAAATTACTTCGGTGATCTTTCTAAGATATGATATATTTGTTTGTAATTTTTTCATTTATCTGTGTACAAAAATGGATATCATTAACCATTCTTGAGTTTTTTGATTTGGTTACACCTTGAGCGGTTTCATCTTTACTTCAAATGGTAATGTTATCATAAATTGGTTATTATGCATGCTATTTAGGCGAGACTTTTGTTTTTTAGATCTAATCATCAAGATTTCTTTTGTGGTAGGTGAGATATAAGTAAGGTATAAGCTTGAGGCCATTAAGTTGACAATAGGGAGGGCCAAAGTTTAAAATGGTGAAATTGGGAACCAATGTGTTTTTTCTTAGCTAAAAGAGGCATAAACCTCAAGGCTTAAGCCTCAAGAAAGAAAAAAATCATAAAATTAAAAATAATTCATAAATATGACAAACTATTGATAAGTTATCTTAATTTATTATCTTAAAAATATATATTACAAATCTTAATGTTATATATTGATATAAATTAGAAGTTTGAAATGTGATTCTAGGTAATTACACTTAAAATTTATATATTCCATAGGTAATCATTTACTTAAAATTTAAATATGAACCACAAATCTTAATTTATTATCATAAACACATAAATCACAAATTTTAATCTTAAATATTGATATACGGCAGAAGTTTGAAATGTGATTCTAGGTAATAATTCTCTTAAATATTTCATAGGATTCATGATCCATAGTGGTCTCATTATGTTTTCATCATATTCAAAATAAGCATCATATATATTATCATCTAATTATATCTCATTTGCAACTTTAAAATATCTTTTATTCACTACAATTTTCTTGTTAATATTGACTTAGATTAAAAGGATATATTAATAATATAATCAATTAATCATACTATAATTATTTTTTAACCTTTTTAAGGTATTGCATCAAATATATATAATAATGTAATATAATATATTTTTTTATATAACTTGTTCGAGGCGCTGCCTGAAACGCCTCAAAAGGCTTATAAGCCTCTCTGGTGACATTGAGGCTTAAGCCTCGAGCTTTTTTTTGTGCACCTCAATGGGGAGGACTAACTTTATGGTGGCAAATGGGACACAACTTGATATTTAAATGAGATTTAACTGTGGTGGTGGTGGAGCGAGAGGACAACAATGTGGTGTAGCTTTGGCGGCGCCAAACGACACTTGCATATTGATATTGATAAAACATCAAATAATGATAAATGTTTGTACGAGCTAAATGCGGATGAGATTTATCTCTCCAACTTAAGGCTTTGCTACACATATCTAGCAATTCTCTCGTGTTCTCTATACTCTAAGGTTGGATGAGAAGGTATGAAGGGTGCATAATATTTATAGAGGTATGAGAGGGGTATAATATTTAAATTCTATTAAACCTTTATGTCACGCTTCCTTAAAAATCAGTAATGCATAGTTCAAACTTTTTAGAGGTGACATGTGCCCGTTGCACTCAATGATTTGCCACATTCATAAGGTCCTACCCGTTGTCTTACTATCTGCCAATTGCCACTTTAGCACGATCCCCTGCCAGCTTGAATTGCATTCCATAGCCTTTATCATTGATTTTCCTCATCAGAATGGCCATTTTTTCCTTCACTAATAAAGCAATGGGTATCCCAACCCCCTATACCTTTAGGACAATAGCTCTTAATGCCTTTTATCCCCTGCCAGCCACATCAACAACACATTAGCTTCCAAGGCGCCTATTAGAATCTCCCTCTACAGAAGTATAATTTGTTGAAAAATAAGCTTTAGTTTTTGCATAAGTCCTTGCATATGTGATGTGTGTACTTTTTATGCCATGAGAAAATTTTCTTTTTATTCATGGTAGAGCCACTCTCTTATTTTACTATAGACATAGACAACAGAGCCCAACCGCATACATCTTGTTTATCTTATGCTCTTCTCTTTCTCTCTCTTTACCAAAAAGACGTTGGTCTCCTCTCTGTTGCTTCTCTCGAGGAAGGAGCATGTTTATTATGCCACCTCAACCCCTTATCCTTCTTGATTTCCACCAACGTCGCCTCCGAGATCCATTGTCTTCCTCGCATGCAATTAAGACTCACTTAAACTACATCACTGTAGATCAGGCCATCTCTTTGGATCCTCTCGGGCTAAGCTTCTTCGGTCTTCCCTCCTTAGATCCTCTTGTTCTCACAAATGGTTGCTTAGGAATGGAACACTACTGAATAACTTCTTTGGAGCCTCCTCTCCATCCTTCTGCCTTCTGTCTCTTGCAGAAAGATTTATTGCCTCATTTCTCATCCCTGATGAGCTGACCCACTTCTACATCCCTCTCTACCTTTGAATCATGTAGTATCCTGGCTTGAGGGCTCGCCTTTCCTTTCTCACCCTCTAGTGCCACACAAAACGTTCTTAACAACAAACTGAGTTTTGCCCTTTGCAGGCTCAAGGTATTGATATTTTTTATTTATATTTCCAAATTTTATGTATGTGCATCTGCATATCATAAAATATTTTATAATATTTTTCTCTTAAAATATATACTGTCTCATTAAATGGGAGCAAACAATGAAAAGGGCTTCAAACGATGCCAAGTTCTGGAGAAGTGTCACAAGTCACAACTGAGTTAACCTGAGCATTAGTATATGTAAGAACTAATGACATTCTAGATTGACTATCAAAATTTTATGTTTTTTGATGTAATTTTTCAGTAGGTGTGCTATCCCGAAAATGTCTCATTATGAGGATGCATGATTGTGAAGGTCCTGAGAACAATTTACCTTTTACATTTAAAGGAATCATGTGTACTATAATGACACTCTTCACTAATACAACCTAGTATCATTTCTTTCCTTAACTCATGACATAGGATTTGATTCATTCTTGCCTCTAATTTTTTTCCGGAGCTTGTCATCCGATAAGGCTGTTAGGAGTTGCTTCTTGTTTGAACCTCAATGGCAATGGTTCTCCCCACCCTCATTGTAATGTCCTCTTAGAATTTGGGATGTTATAGGCTCAATTGCTTCAGCTTGGTTCAGTAAAGGAGGTCAGGCTTTGATACTAATTGGAACAATGCACTCTATTTTATGTAAAGTATCGTCTACTTAATCCTAGCCTGTCCCATACCAAGTTGAACCTCACGAGTTTATCATTTTTCCTGTAATTTCTTAGGAGATCATCCTTGCCATGAGTGATTCATTATGAGCCTGCTTAATTGTAGAGTTTTCAAGTGAACTATTCACTAGAACAAAAGGTGCATTTTATGTTATGTTATAACTCTTTTACTTAACGGAGTTTTGTGTCCTTTTTCTCTATTAACATATGGGATTTGGTTCATTCCTTCCTCCCTTTTTTTTTTTCTAAATAGGACATCTTAGAAGCCTGCTAAAAGCTGCTTCTTATTGCGTTGCGTGTGAAGGTCACTTCTCCTCTGTGTCCCACCGCTATTTTTTTTCATTTGTGTTTTTTTCTACAAAGTTGGGGAAATGTGGCAGATACTTTTTGTTTGAATTATTTACTTGTACATATTCCATCTAAAATTTGAATACTAAGCTTGGGTCACCCTCTTTTATTTTAAAGGGTTTGTTAGGTTTGCTGAAAATGTAATGCAGTGTAAAATGATTGCAATATAGAAGTATTATATTGTATTTGGAATACCTTGGAGTTGTGTGTTTCAAGGTAAAATAAACGTATGACTTCGTCTTTTTTTTTTTTTTGGCTTGAAGTAGAATGAAAATAATGTATCGTAAAAAATGTGAGGTTTTATATAAAGGGTTGTATATTTAGAATTTGGCCAAATTCACCAAATTTCAAATACAGAGAAAATGAACTACGAAATGTTTTCTCAATTCATTTCTATTTTATATTGTTTTTGTAATTCTTCGACCAAACACCTGAATTCTTAAAATCGCTATAAAACGAATGTTATGCACTCCTTTTACAAGCGACCCAACAACCCCAAAGTCAATTCAACGTTTTTTTCTTCTGCTTAGTCTTTTCATTAGTGAAACATATAATTTCAATGGTGTTAGTAATAGCTTGGAACTACTAATGTGTTTAATTATTCATTTTAGAGACGTGAGAAAATGGGGATTAGGCGTATGTTATAGCTCTGAGATTCTCTTCTATGTGTGTGTGTGTGTGTCTATGTATGTATGTATGTATATATATATATA